GTTCCTATTTTGTTACTGTATGATAATTTATGGTAAAACAGAGCCGTGATCCGCCCAAAACTAAGTTTTTCTATCTTTTAGAGGCTTTGTAGACTAGTGTACATAGTTCACTTGCGTCTTGTCTTTTAACAAGTTGCGGCCTCAACGGCCAAGTCTTGCATGTTTTGGGTCTACTTATGTTGGTTCGTATCGCTACATCCTATGTGAACTTGTCACAACTTTAAGATTGTCATAGTTATATGCATAGTAAGCACAAGTTATATGTTGGTTCTCTAGGGCCTTTAGGGCATCGGCTGCCTGTCCATCTTTATGGGAACTGAGGCATGATAAAAGTGGTATCAGAATAGGTCATCCTAGGGAGTCTACAAAGTCGTGTCTTTGTAAAGTATTTCTTATGGATGTGTTGTGCACCACATTTATAAATTGGAGGCTACGGGACATGTAGGAGTTGTCTCTTGCCTTTTATTTCTTAGATCGTGCGATAGAACTGATGTTGTAGGTGAATCGTATCTAACTTCCAAATTGTTTTATGATAGACAATATGTTGATTACGAGAAGGAGTAAAAGTGCATCTAAGCGAGTAGATATGGCTGCCCAAGAAGGGACCAGCCAACCACCACCTAGTCAAGCTGTTCAAAGTGAGGCTCAAGATGAGTCTATATTTAAGACTTCCCCAACCCCTCCATCTCCAGAAGATCTAAGGAGGGAAGTTGCACCTCAAGAACCTCCTATTAAAGCTACCGAGCAAGATTTAAAGAATGCAGTACAATTATTGACTCGTATAGTTGCTAGCCACGGCCAAAGGCAAGAAGGTCAAGTTACAGGTACTAGTGGTGTAGATAAAGAAGCTGGCATTCGGATACGTGATTTTCTTAATTCGGACCATACATCATTCACCGGGTCAGATCCTATGAAGATCCACAAGACTTTATAGATCAGATCCAACGCACTTTGGATGGTATGCATGTAAGTGGTAAATAAGCACTTGAGCTAGCAGCATAAACATTAAAGAGTGTGGCTATATTGTTTTATGAAGCTTGGAAGCAATCTTGGGGAACATATGCACCTTTAGCTATATGGAAAGAGTTCAAAAGGGCATTCCTTGACTATTATTTGCCATTGGAGATCCGAGAGGCCCGTGCGGATCAGTTCTTAAATCTTAACCAAGGAAGTATGAGCCAGAGAGAGTACAATCTCAAATTCACAAATAGTGATTCATCATGAACAGGGAACTACGAGCCAATCAAGGCCTCCTCGACAGCCTTGTAAACAATGTGGAAGATATAATCTAGGTGCATGTAGGTTTGGGACAGATGTTTGTTTTTGGTATGGTACACCAGGGAATATGATGAGAAATTGCCCTCATTGGAGCATGGGTTGTGTTGCACAGCCTACTAGATCAGTTCTTGCATCTTTCTCATCAATACCTTATTTAGGTAGGGGACTACAAATGCCTACAGGTCGTGGTAGAGGAGCTAGGGGAGCATCTAGTTCTAGTGGAGTTCAGAATCGCACATATGGTCTGGGGGATCGACAAATATGGAAGCTTCACCGGATGTGGTTATATGTACATCGTCCATCTTTTCCCATATTCTATATGCACTAATGGATCTAGGGTCTACATTTTCACATGTTACTCCATTAATTGTTGGGAAGTTCAATAGACCACCAAAATTATTAGTGAAGCTATTTGAAGTGTCTACACTGATAGGTGAGTCTATTATAGCTAGAAGGGTTTATCGTAAATGCATTGTAACTATTTGTATCGTGATACATTGGCTGAACTTGTTGAGCTACAAATGATAGATTTTGATGTTATAATTGGTATGGATTGGTTAGCTTCTTGTTATGCCACTATAGATTGTCGAACTAATATGATGTGTTTCAATTTTTCAAAAGAGGCAGTCCTTGAATGGAAAGCTAATATTGGGGCTCTAAGAGGTAATTATTTCGTACCTTATGGATAAGAAATTGATGTCCAAAGGATACATATGTCATCAAGTGAGGGTTAAATATACAGATTTGGAGTCACCAACTCTTCAATCCATCCTAGTGTAAATGAATTTCCCGATGTATTTCTTGAAGATCTTTCGGGTTTGCCTCCAGAATGACAAGAAGAGTTTTGTATTAATGTGATTCCAGATACTCAATCTATCTCCATCCCTCCATATAGAATGGCCCCAGAAAAATTACGCGAGTTGAAGGAGCAATTAAAATACTTGCTAGAAAAGGGATTCATAAGGCCTAGTATATCCCCATGGCACTACGAGAAAGTGGAGATACAACGACATTTTCTAAATGTCGTATTATGATGTTTAAATGTCACAAATTTGTTTATTGACATTTATTTTACATTTGGACCAAATGTCGTAAATTTTAGTGTCAAGAATTTTTCCGACATTTAGGTAATTGTCGGGAAGAATTTGTGACATTTAGGTAAATGTTGAAAAGAATTTGCGTCATTTCCTTTGCAACATATATGTAAATGTTGGTAAGATTATTGTGACATTTATTTTTTGACATTTATGTGAATGTCGATAAGAAATATATGACCTTTATTTTTGACATTTAGGTGAATGTCAGTATGAGATATATGACATTTATTTTCGACATTTAGGTAAATGTCAGTATGAGATATATGACATTTATTTTTTGACATTTATGTGAATGTCGATAAGAAATATATGACATTTATTTTTGACACTTAGGTGAATGTCAGTATGAGATATATGACCTTTATTTTTGACATTTAGGTAAATGTCAGTATGAGATATATGACATTTATTTTTGACATTTAGGTAAATATCGGTATGAGATATATATGACATTTATTTTTGATAATTAGGTAAGTGTTGGTGTGAGATATATGACATTTATTTTTGACATTTACGTAAATGTCGGTATGAAATATATGACATTTATTTTTGACATATAAGTAAATGTCGATATGAGATATATGACATTTATTTTTTCGACATTTATAAAATGACACTTACACTTTCTGACATTTAGATTAAATGTTGGTAAAACAAATTTCAAGACACTTGTCACATTTATAAGATGTCACGTTTAAATTTCTGACACTTTAGTTAATGTCAACAAATGCTATTATTGAATGTCGTAAAAATTGGTGACATTATTTTATATTTTGCTAAATGTCATATTAATAATCTAATGTCGCTACCAAGTTTCTTAAACATCCAAGAAAAATCTATATATAGTTTTTCTCAAAACACAAATACATACAAACAATCTGTGCATTCAAAACTATCTTCTTCATGATAAGCAAACAATATTATATAAAGTAAATATTTTCTAATATTATAATCAAAGAAAAAAATAGCAATATAATAAGTTTTCTGTAAAAGTAAACAATGTCAAAACAAATTATCTTTTCTATCTCAAGTAAAATTGAAATCTAATTAAATGTAATAATCTCAACATAAAAACAACTAATTAACTCCTAATTCAAATGAAATTAAAATCTCCAATAAATTTTCAATAAATCTTTATAAAATCATCAACCCGAAAGTCGAGCATGTTGACGTCAATACTTGACCTCAATTTCTTTGAAAATTCTGCATAAGAAATGCACATAAGAAAATTTACAACTACATAATAATAGAAATTAGATCCTAGTTAACAAGAAAAAAATGAGATATCAAAAATGACTAATTGAATTTTCCTAAAAACAAACATATTAAGGAATTGATGCAAAAGCAGTAATTATATACATGAAATTTTCCTCCTTTTGAAAGAAAAGAAAGATCTTGTAGTTTTTTCAAACATACCCACTTCTTTTTATTTGTGCCAACTACGGTAGTTCCAGTCTTCTTGATCATGTTAGCCTGAGAAAAAACATTAAATTATTATTTTGATACTTTAGGAAAAACAAAACATAACATTTCATTGAATACATAAGTGTGCCAATTTTTTCAGAAGGAAAATAAAAAAAGGAAGACATATGATTGCTTCAACAAAACAAACATCTGGTGTTGGGACAAAGATACAAACAGACAAAGATACCTTCCTGGGTTGTGAGGAAGGTACTAGAATCTAGAGTTCAGTTAATAAACAGACTAGGAAGTCATGGGACAATTCAACAAAAACTTGTTAAAGTCCAACTTAAGGAAAGATTTTCAATCCGGAAGATGTATGTAAATTTAATGTTTGTTCATCCCAAAGTAGCCTGGAAACATCTTGCTTTACATACAAAGATACATCCTAGATATAAATTCATTCTATGGTTGGCTATACAGAAACGACTAGCAACAGTTGAGAGATTGCAAAAATTTGGAATCACTGTCCTCCCTGATTGCGTCTTTTGTTGCCAACACTTAGAAACACTCTCACATTTATTCTTTGAATGTAGTGTGACCAAGACGATATGGAATTGTATGCTACAATGGTTAGGGCACAGAAGACAAATACAAGACTGGGAAACTGAAGTGAATTGGATGAGCCAGATTGCAAGACGAAGAGGTGGTGTTGCTGAAATCACAAGTTGTGTGTTTACGATGGTTGTGGAGGTGATGTTGATGCCAATGCCAAATATGGGGAGATATTTGGTAGTCCAACAAGTACAGAGGAAACTCAATTCATTACCTTATTATCTATAGAAATACAACAAGACATAGAGCAAGAGGATCAAACTTGTAATACTGAGGAGGTATTAATCTTCAGAGAATATCTAAAAGTGTAGCTAATGGTTTTATGTTAGAGAATGGAGTTCCTGCAAATCATCTATCAACACAGGACACCAGAGACAATGGTTCAGATAGATGGTTTGAGAAATTAGTGAGAAGGCGTCAAAAGTCAGAGATTGATTTCACGCGTACTCCAAAAATGTTGTTGAAGGAAGATGACTCAATGCCACTCAAATAATACTACATAAACTTGTACAAACAGTAAAACTCCATATATACACAGAAACAACATTAAAACATACTAGAAATGAACAATTATCTTATCAGAGTCGCAATGATAAAATAATTGGTATTATGTGTTGGAAGTTCTTGATGTCTAGTAAAGCTGGTCATAATGCACCTGTATTTGAGAAGTACCAGCAGAAAGCAAAGAACTTTATGTGTTCACGTCTTGCAAAGGGTGACAGAAATACCCAGAAAACTCCTGGAGGTCTCATCTATAGGCAAAGATGGAACAATATGTATTTTGTTACTAGTGTTGCATTCCTTGGCACTACTTATTCTGACTATTTGGCCTTTGTTGGTAAATACCTCAAGTGTTCTTCTGGTTCTGTTTCTCTGAATGAGCTTCTCTCATTCTCTAAGTCTCAGGTAAAGATTTTAACTTTGATAGAGTGCTACAAGCTTGTATTATGACTATTCATCATAAATTGAAGCATGGAACTAGCAATGTGTTCTTGGTGAACTAATCATCATGTTTGATGTTGTTCTAGGTGGACTACATTCTTGGTGACAACCCGAGAGCAACAAGTTACATGGTGGGATATGGAAACAATAACCCAAGTCAAGTACACCACAGAGCCTCCTCCATTGTCTCGTTTAAGGTTAATACTATGTCACGACCCAAGCCTAGGGCCTAGACGTGACCGGCGAATGGGGAACCTGAAGGAACCCCAAACAAGCCTCATAGTGTATCATTACACATCCTTGGTCGCGGAAGCAATTAAAATGACCATAAGCGATAAGCATAATCAAGGGGGAAATCGGGACTAAGGGAGCAAGAAAAAAAAAAGAAATGATACATAAATACCATAGATGAGTCAAGCTCAAGCATAATACACAACTTGTCCAACACCACCTCTAAACATGGGTACTTTAGCGGGGGCCAAGACAAACAACCGGGCTCACCCTCATAGTCAAAACATAACTAAAAAGGAAAAGTCTTATACATAGCAAAAGATCATAAGCAACGTCCCCGGAATGGAGGACTCACCAATAACCTCAATACAAAATCGTATTAGCCACGCGGGGGAGGATGGTCACGCGGTGCTCCAGTCCCTACATGGTGACATCATGTAGGCATAGAGTATGCATTAGTACGTTTGAATGTACTAAGTATATGGGATGCAATGCAATGCAATAATAGATGGACATCATAGGCAAAATGCATAATCATACCCGATAGATAGCATATTGATGAGATAATATGTATAATGATGCTTACATAAAAATCATATTTAGTGGGACGTAGTACATGTGTGGCGAGTGACCATCAATATAGTATTTCCAAGGCCTACCACCCCCTTGGAGAGGCGAAAGAGGTACAAACCCCTCAATGTGGTTACCCGGGCCTACCACCCCCCGAGCTAGGGACCAAGGTACAAACCCCTCGATGTGTTTATACGGGCCTACTACCCCCCGTACTAGGCAACCAAGGTACCAACCCCTCGATACGGTTACCCGGGCCTACAACCCCCCGAGCTAGGCTTGGTCGACTCACAACACTTATATAGAGAAAATCATATACATGTATCTATTTCATCATCATTTCAATGATTATATGACCATCCGACTCATAGGACGTACATTGGACCTTCCATTTCCTAAGAATTCTATAAGTGGGCATTTTATCAAACACATGGTGGGCTATTGTTCATGTAAATAAAATCATGCATTTCAAGAGTACTAAGTCCAACCAATTCCAAAATCCATATAAATCAGCCCACCAACAACATACATATATATATATCAACCTTCATAATTTGACCATGGAAGCATGAAAACCATAAACATCACATAATAATTCCATTTCATGATAATATGCAAAATAGACCATAATGGGGTGTGTAGTAGTAATTCCATACTTCAAGAGTTCATAAGTAACCATAAGGACCCATAAACTTGAAGTAAAAATAGAGGATAAATGGTTGGACTTGTGGAAAGGAAGGTTTCCACAATCAAACCCATATACCTCAACTTTGGAGAATCCTCGATGAAGATTGGAATGGAGAATTGAAACTTGAGATTGAGTCTTGAATCCGGAATTAGAGCTTGAGATCTTTGAATTAGGTTGAAGATCTTGGGGGAATTTTGGAGAGGGCTTAGAGAGTGTTTTTAAGTGTTTTGAAGTTAGAAAAAAAATATGACTAAGTATGGGACATATCCCCTTTTTATAAAAAAAAACGCCCCAACACTTAGCCTAAAAAATGAGGCTTTAAAAAAAAAACAGCTTACTGGAAATTGCAAATCTGCACAGACAGGTTTTACGAAAATGGTCATAACTACCTCATCCTAACTCGGAATGAGGTGAAACCAGGTGCGTTGGAAAGCTAACTCAAAGGGATTTAATTTAATAGGTAGTGGCCCTTCCAGTTCCTTGTGTGCTAAGAGATATGCCTCTTTAAAGTTGACCCTCCAAATCGCATTTTTTGCGATTTTCGAATTTTGATACGGTTGCTCTAAAATTCGGGTTAGACCCATTTCCCACTCAATTTGACCCCCTGAATAAGAATATGAAGTCGAATTTCCGAAATCATGCAAGGATTCTGAGATATATGGAAATTACAATTATAGGTGTTTCCGAAGCACATTTTCGGGCATTTTTGGGGTCGTTTCATCCTAGTTTTGTTAGCTTTCGGGTAGGCTATCATACCTGGTATAGTAGAAAGGCGAGTGACCTGATACCTATGACAACTTCACTGATCAAAGAGATAACTATGAGCAAACTGAGCATGGCACTTACAACAATGTTCCGTTGATCGGTGTGTTGGCAAGACTTTATGCTGGTCACAACGGTTACAATCATCTCCTCCCATGTACATTTTAGTGAATTAACATCTTTATATGAGTATTCCGAGGATTCATCATAAAATGACTAGTTTTAGCTAGCCATCCACCTACTACAACTTGCTTGGGATTGAGACGTAGTAGTTGTTGTAGTACTAATATCTTCGTATAACTCATTTAGTCTCAAGTTCTAACCTGTAATGGAGAAAATGATAACAACTAGGTTAAGGAGATCACAAATAGAGAATTGAATATTAGAATGCGGAAGCACAAATAAAAGAAACAAAAAAAAACTAACTAAAGATATGGGAAATTCGTAGGAAAGATCCACGAATTTCCAAGGATTAGATGTTCTAAGGTCTTGAAAAGATCCTAGTAATAACATATAGATTTATGGAAGAAATCTAACGCCTTTACTTGAGAAAACGAATCAAAAACGATAGATTCGGATCTTAACCTCTTTATGAGTAACTAAAGACAATAATTAGTATGTAGAAACTAATCACCTTCTAAAGAATACCAAAAAGAAACCAAAGATATCACAAGAAGAAGTTACTTTATACCTTAAACTATGAAACTAGTAAAGGTTTAAAGATAAATTCTCAAAGAACAAGTCACAAAGGTTCAAAGAACTCTCTCAAATATTATTAATATCAATCTAAATTGTCTTTAATGAATAAAAAGGACTCATATATATAGGAGAAGGGGGAAGAACATCCAAGACCCCTTATAAGAAGCTAAAAAGTCAGACAAACCCTAGAAAGACAATTACAAGGAATCATACTCTAGAAAGGAAATAAAGTACCTAACTAGGAACAAATTTAGTACTTCTAGGAAAGCATTAAATGGTACTTAGGAGACCATAAATAGAATAAGGAAAATATTAATAACCTATATATAAATAAAGAAATAAGGTAAATCTCAACTAGGAAAAGAATATTGACAATCTTGGACAGTTTGACTAGTCTTCTCTCAAAACTTGGGCAGAGAGCAACTCTTGTTGTGGCTGATTCTTGGACTCTTCTTGACCTTATTTTCACGAAATTGGACCTTAAAATTCCTAATTTTGGGCTTGAATTTGGGCCACCAAATAATTGTAGCATTTGGACAATTCCTCTCCCTTGGGCTTAAGCTCTTCTTCCCCAATAAGAAACCTTTGGATCAGCGATTGAAGCCCATTGAGCTTATCATTGAACTCCTTGGTTTGAGATCTTTTTATGGGCCTCCTTGGAGTTTCTAAAGCTTCATCATTGTCCTTCAATGGAGTAGAGCTTCCTTGGATGCTATCAAAATTGCCAACCAATGAGAAATTAGGGACTTTTGGGGCGGAGCCTGTGATATGTTTTTGTTGTTATCAACAAGGATGGGATGAAGTGGATTATATCTTCATTCAAGGACATTTTGCAGCTTATATCTGGAAATATTTCTCAAATATTTTGGGTTTTGCTGTACAACAGACTTTCCTAAGTTGTTACCTATTAAATTGGTGTGGCAGTCAAGGTAAAAATGAAGCTCACAAGATGAGTCCTTCAATGGAGTAGAGCTTCCTTGGATGCTATCAGAAAATCCACTCAATGACACATCCAGTGCGCTAAATTTTACCAGACAAGGAATTCTTACTCTTCTAAATGGTTCTGGCAGAGTAATTTGGTCCTCCGATTCCACTATTGCTACGTCGATTTATTGGAGGATGTAGAATTTAACACTCCTTAGTTGTAAAGTGGGACACTCTTTTAGGACTCGAGTACTTGCACTGAATTATCTCAGGATCAAGCTCTGAGATTAGTCCTAGTAGAAGTGTCTGCTGAAATAAAATGTGAAATAGCTCTGCATTTTCCTATGTAGTAAGATAAAGATTTCTAGTTATGAGTATTTAATCATTTGGAGGTCAATCATCAATAATTTCAGCTCATCTGGAAAGAAAATAACATAACAATTACATTTAATCTTAGACTTGGCAGCAACTCATATACACTATACCCATGAAGATACCCTTCTCACTTGTTTTAGAGAAGACTGCAATATTGTTTCCCTTTCATATTACCACTCTCTCACCTTCCACTTGCCAATACTAGATAACCAAATAATTTTATTATAGTGATTTTTTTGTGATCGAAGTGACTTGATTGTATAAATATCTTTTACGATGTAAAGTAACTGTGCTGGTAAACTGAGTCTAAGGTGTGTGTGGCACTCCACACTTTTTCCTTTAGGAAGATGGAGGAAAAAAAAGTAGTCAAAGACATGACTTCAGGTCTCTTTTTTGGGTTATAGTAACTTTATACTTTTATTATACAAGACCCTTCACTCCAATAGAACTTCTAACTTTTATAAGTGCTGCAATTTGATTTCTTGTACATGGTTTGTTTTGATTGTTAATTTCTTTTTAAATGTATAGGGAAATGGAGGTGATCAAATTTGAAGGTTCGCCACAAGTCAATTTGATCTCATTGAAGTGGAAGTGGATAGTGAAGAGTTTTTGAACTATTGTAAAAAATTTGAATACATTATATTTGATTTTGTGAAATATATTCATTGCTAGAATATATTGAACTATTGTAAGAGTACTTTTTGAACTATTTTGTACACATATTTAGAATATTGCTTTATAAGTATGTATGTACACAAGACATACTATCTTTTGAAGTTTATTGCAAATCTATATATTTGAATTACTTATTAGCTAATTTAATGTTTGAGATTATTTATTGCAAAATAATATTGGTGTTTTTTAATTAGAAATTGTGGCATATAAATATTTTATAGCCAAAATAATATTACCACACTTAAAAGTGTAGCCAAAGGACTGTAAATTGTGGTATGCACATGGGCAAGGACTACACTTCAAAGTGTTGTCATACATAAGATAGAAAAGGCAACACTTTAAAATCGTGGGCAATAAGGAAGCAAAGGCCACACTTGGCTTATGTATTATAAATTTTAGCATGTACATAAGAAAACTTACACTTAATAAGTGTTGTTGTAGATGAGATATAAAAGGCGACACTTTTAAATTGTGACCAATAACAGCAGTTCAGGTACTTTAATGGTCGGGTTTTAATTTATATATAGTGACTATGGTAGTCAGCGAATGCCGACTGCTACAATTGGCAAGTATTTTCCAGCGCTCAGTCTGCCGACTACTCAAAAGTAGTCAGAAAGTCATTGGAAAACTCCATTTTCCGACTACATTTCGACCAATTTTGAAGTCGGCAAACAACGAAATTCTAGTAGTGTAATATATTCGACTTTTGTATTAAATGTCGCTACTTTAGCAACACTTTTGGTAAAAGTCGCTAAAATCAATGACATTTTACAACAAATGTCACTAAAATCAATGACATTTTGTAGTAAATGTCACAACATATTCGACATTTATATTAAATGTCACTATTTAAACAATATTTTTACTAAATGTCACTAAAACCAATGTCATTTTCTAATAAATGTCATATTATATTCGACATTTGTTGCAAATGTCATCCTTTAAATGACATTTTCGCTAAATGTCGCTAAGAACAACGACATTTTGCAATAAATGTCATTATTTTAGTGACATTTTTTCTAAATGTCCCTATTTTAGTGACATTTTTTTCTAAATGTCACTTAAATTAATGACATTTTGCAGTAAATGTCATAATATATTCGACATTTATATTAAATGTCACTATTTAAGTGATGTTTTTTTCTAAATTTCACTAAAACCAATGACATTTTGTAATAAATATCATATTATATTCGACATTTGTAGCAAAATGTGATCATTTATAAGACATTTTCGCTAAATGTCGCTAAAAACAACGACATTTTGCCATAAATGTCATTATAATAGTGACATTTTGGACCAAATGTCATTATATTTACGATATTTGATACCAAATGTCATCATTTTTATGACATTTGACATCAAATGTCATTGTTTTATGACGTTTTGTTCTTAAATGTCGTGAAATTCTTTATTTTCCGACATTTGTTTCAAATGTCACCAAATTAATGTCGTCATATGTACATTTTCTTGTTGTGTGGGGAGCACCAGTTTTATTTGTACGTAAGAAAGATGGCTCGTTATGAATGTGTCTTTACTACGGGCAGTTGAATAAGGTAACGATTAAGAATAAATATCCCCTCTCTTGAATTGAAGATTTGTTTGACCAGTTACAAGGTTCTAAGTGTTTCTCAAAGATCGACTTGACGTTGGGTTATCACCAAGTGAGGATCAGAGATCAAGATATACCCAAGAAAGCTTTTCGAAAATGGTATGGTCTTTTTGAGTTTTTAGTCATGTCATTCGAGCTAAAAAATGCACCAGCGACTTTTATGGATTTGATGAATAGGGTGTTCAAGCCATTTCTAGATGTGTTTGTGATAGTATTCATAGATGACATTTTGGTGTATTCACGATCGGAAGAGGACCATGCTAATCACTAGTGGCAAGTTTTAGAAATTCTTCCTGATTGTAAGTTGTATGGATGTTCTCTAAATGTGAGTTTTGGTTGAAATTTGTAGTATTCTTAGGTCATATTGTATCTCACGAAGGAATAAAGGCTGATTTTCAAAAGATAGAGGCCCTGAATAATTTTCCAAGACCTACAACCCCTATGGAGATCGATAGTTTTCTTGGATTGCCAGATAATTACAGAAGGTTCATTGAAGGATTCTCTTCCGTTGATGCACCCTTAACAAAGCTAACACACAAAGAAACCAAGTTTCAGTGGAATGATGCATGTGAAAGAAGCTTCCAAGAGCTGAAGAATAAACTAAATTTCTACACTTATAGTGGTACTTCCAGAAGGCATGGAACGGTATGGGGTGTATTGTGATGATTCGGGAGTGGGCTTAGGATGTGTATTGATGCAGCATGGTAAAGTAATAGTTTATGGCTCAAGGAAGCTGCGGCCACATGAACAAATTTATCCAACCCATGATCTAGAGCTAGCAGCAATTGTATTTGCATTAAAGATATTGCACCACTACTTGTATGGAGTTCATGTTGACATATATATTGATCAGAAGAGTTTGCAATATATCTTTAAGCAAAAGGACCTGAATCTGAGGCATTCAAGGTTGCTTGAGTTATTCAAAGATTATGACATTGATATTTTGTATCATCTTGGGAAAGCAAATGTGGTAGTCGTAAGACGATTGCAAGAACTTATGGGCAATCCACTGGAAGACAAGAGATAACTAAAGATTTGTACCAACTAGCTAGCTTGGGGGTTCGCCTTCTTGAATCGCTAGACGAAGGGAAATTGTGAAAAATGCGGCAGAATCCTCATTAAAAGTGGAAGTGAAAGAGAAGAAGTACACCTATCCTATTCTATTACATCTTATGGAGAATGTACAACATGGTATGACAAAGGCATATGAGCTTACGCAAGAGGGAGTACTTCGATGTCAAAACAGATTGTGTGTACCTAATGTAGATGAATTAAGAAAGAGGATTATGATGGAAGCACATCATTCAAGAAATTTTGTCCATTCGGGTCAACTAAAATGTATCATGACTTGAAAGAAATGTATTGGTGGGGTGACATGAAGAAGAACATTGCGGAATTTGTGGCTCAATGTACAAATTGTCAACAAGTAAAAGTAGAGCACCAAAAGCCCGAAGGTTATATGCAACGTATAGAACTTCCAATTTTGAAGTGGGACATGATAAACATGGATTTTGTCACTGGTTTGCCTCGCTCATTTTGGAAGTTTGATTCCATATGGGTAATAGTTGACAGACTCACCAAATCAGCGCACTTCTTGCCGGTGAAGACTTCTTATATAGCTGAAAAGTATGCAAGGTTGTATATTAAAGAGATAGTTTCACTACATGGAGTGCCAATCTCTATAATATCTGATAGAGGAGCTCAATTCACTGCAAAATTTTGGAAGCCATTTCAAAAGAGTTTGGGAACACAAGTGAATTTAAGTACAACATTTCACCCTTAAACGGATGGTCAGGCAAAATGTACAATTCAAACACTTGAAGATGTGTTACGAGCTTGTATATTAGACTTCAAGTGTAGTTGGGATTATCATCTACCACTTATTGAATTCGCTTATAACAGTAGCTACCATTATAGTATCCAAATGGCGCCTTATGAAGCTTTATATGGGAGAAAGTGAAGATCCCCAATTGGCTGGTTTGAAATACGTGAAACTTCCTTAATTGGGATAGATCTTGCTCATCGAGCTATGGATAAAGTCAAGTGATACAACAGCAGCTAGAAATAGCTCAAAGTCTACAAAAATCATATGCGGATATTATAAGGTGTCACGACCCATGGTTACCCCTAGATGTAACATGGCGTATAGAAACCCCGAAGGACTCCATACTAGCCACTTAGCTTTCAAAACATAAGATATAGAACAATAAAGAGTAAAAAACTTTTTTTAAGTCCAAAACAATTTTATAGAAAAGTGGAAGTCTAAACACATGTCTCATCATAGTCATCTATTACATTTGAATGAAATTGGGCCTAGCCTATACATCATGTTCAAAAAGGAAATAGAAAAAGAGAAACTAAAATGAAAGTAATCCATCTTCGAACCATGAGGACTCACCAAGCTCAGGAAAGAATTAAAGTTGAAGCTCTAACCACTAAAATGGGAACCTTTTCTGTCGGACCCTACATTTAGGAAAAATGTAGGCTCTTGTATGTGTTAGTACAAAAATTCACTAAGTATGATAGTTATGCATAAAAATATTTTAAACATACTAAAAAGGACATTTCATTTCATGACATGTAATTGACCAATTTAAAACATGCTATAAGAGGGCTAGAAAACATAAGTCATAACATCATAGTCGATGCAAGATAAATCATGTTTAAGTCTGAGATACTTCTTTAAGTATCCTTAGTTCATTAATCATCTTGTTGTGGGAAAATTAGCCTTATCTAACATAGAGACCATGTGAGCTATAACATTATCACCCGGTGTCTCCCACACCGAAAAGGTTGTTCTACATGCCTAAGGTAGAACCATGAACTTCTAGCTTAAGTGGATCCGCTAGTTAAATATCCTAAGGGGGCACGTAGTTTATGGGATAAGGAGATTGTCACTAGAAACCCAACCTCTACTAGCGGGAGAGCTTCCATCTCATGAGACTTCATCTAGAAACTCGGCCTCTACTAACGGGAGAGCTTCCATCTCAATTTCAGTATCCACTCGGTGCTAAGCATATTTCCCACGGAATAGCATTTTTCTTACTTATTCTCATTATCCATGGAAAGACATGTCATCTTGTCAATCCAAGCTAGTTCATTAGGATAGCTCTTATTCATTGATTCAATCAGGTGAGAATAGCCATTCAACAAAAGAACCCTTTCTATGTGAGAAAATTTTTCACATCATGGTTGCAAGTATTTTATGAGAATAACCTTTCAACAACACAACAACAACAACATTGGCACCTCACTCTCAAAGTGCCCTTAAAGCATTTACATAGGTTTAATAAGAGCATGCATAAACTCATATTTTGCCCTTCGAAGGTTCAAAACTTGGTTTCAATCACCCAATAATCATTAGATAGGGATTTTATCATAAATTCATGTAATTCTATTACTTCATTCTTTAGATCATAAAACTCCTCTTTCATAATCAACAACCCACATTATGAGATCACAATATGGAAAACATGGGGGCTTGCATGGGTTCATAGGGGGAAACATCATAAAAGCATTGTAAATAATCAATTCATGTATATTTAATCATAATTAAATCATTGAGATCAATAATAAAAATAAACCATGGTGTTGAAGAAAACCCTAGCTAATTGGGGAATTCTACCATTTGAAATTGAGGAATTTGGGGACTCCATGAATGAAAGAGATTCATGGATGAAAACTACCATAATTGCTTATATTCAATGGAGGAATTGAGACCTTAGCTTGAAACCCTAGGTTGAATCTTCTTCTTCTTCAAGTTCTTAGACAGAGAATATTTGGGAGGAGATTTGATTTCTTTTGGGGAATTTGGAAGAATGAACTAAATGGGTCTAATTTGGGTGTAAAAAACTTATATAGGGGGTTCTAAATATAGGTAAAATAGCATAGTATATGAACTAATTAATTAGGAAAAGACCCAACTGATCTTGAGTTAACTGTAATCGACCTACCAATTGACAGACCCAGTCGATGGACCGTGGTCTAACCAACGGTCCGTCCTGGTGAACAGTGGTTGGTGGTCAAAGACTTTTGTCCTGACCTACGGTTCCTGGACCATGGAGCGTGGACCCACATATGGTCTGTAGGACGAATCGAGGTCCATGCTTGGACAGTTCCTGAGGAACCCATCCACGGGCCGTGGATGGCCCTTATGGATGGAACCTGGGAGTTCTAAAATCTGTTAAGCTTCTCTCGTTCGGATACGGGGTATTATAGAAGGAGAGGACTAGAATTCTCTATAGGGGATTGAGTGTTCTTGAAGGTGTCACCAAGGAAAGGGGTAATTAGATTTGGTAAAAAGGGAAAGTTGAGTCCACGCTATATAAGGTCATATAAGATAATCTGAAGAAGTGGCCATGTTGCATATGAGCTAGAGCTACCTCAAGAGCTTTCAGTCGTTCATCCGGTGTTTCATGTCTTAGTGCTTCAAAAATGCATAGGTGACTCATCTCGTATTACTCCTACTGAAGATGTACAAGTTACGGGAGATCTCACAAACGAAGAAGTTCCCATTGCTATTCTTGATCAGAATGTTAGGAAGTTAAGAAACAAAGAAGTAGCATTTGTCAATGTGTCATACAGAAACCAATAAGTAGAAGAGGTTACATGGGAAGAAGAACAAGATATGAGGTCCAACTATCCTAATTTATTTCAATCTAAAGGGAAAGGTCAAAGTGTTGATTTGATGAATTGACGGGTAAGTCTAATTTTATATGAACTATGTGGATAATAATAGAATTTAACTTAGGATTGAAGTTGTTTGGAGCTGGCTACTATGCTAACATTCAAGGACAAATATTCTTAAGGAGGGGATGATGTAACGCGTTGTATTCTCCATATGCTACTTTTATTCATATGACATTTGACATAGACTTATGGTATAGGTGAGGGACCATATTTCTTAGATGAGTATTGTTGGTTTAAAATAGATTGGAATTGTTGTTTGGCTTACACGTTTCAGCATGTATACTCCAAGTCAACTCCAACGAAAGCATTTAAACTTGAAATAGTAACGTTCTATTTGAGCTTAAATTTTAAGGTGAAGTGTTAATTTAAAGAAAAAGGAAGTAAGATTTAGAAAATGAAATAAAATAAGTGAGATGCCTACTAAGACTTAACTAAGCTAGTAGGTTACAAGTAGGTGCATCACCTACTTTGACTTATTGACCAGCCCAAAGGACCAAGTAGATGCATCACCTACTTAACACTCAATTGACCATGTGATTGGGCCAAGTACACTTCCACCTGCTTGCATTAATCTGTCCCAATAGTAGAAGAATAAGGGGAAAATGGATAGCCAAGTCCCAATATTCTTAAGTCCAAAAAGGCCTAAGTGAAAAAGTCCAAGTAGGTGGATCACCTACTTGCATTAATTATGGCCCAAATTGACAAGAATAGAGGGATAATTGGCAGGAAGGCCCAACAAGTTTTCAAGTCCGCAAAGGCCCATGTTAAAAGGCCAATAAGGTAGGTCAGCTACTTGACATTATATTGCACAAAATTGGCCAAGTAAGTCGGCCAACGAACCTCCCTTTTAGAGGGATAAAGATCAGATCTTCTGCTTCATTTTTAACTTGTAAAATTTCAGATTTATTAAGTTTCTCTCTTTGAATTTCTTGGCTTCAAACAACTGCCCTTAAACACCTTAGGGTTGTTGAATATTGCCCCCTTTTCAAGTAAAAGTAGGAAGAAGAGTTTCAGTTCTTGAAGTACAAGTTTAGAGGATAAATTTCCAGAAACTAAGGTTAGGCTACTGCCCATTTTTGCCTCTCTTTAAATACAGGTTTGGGTGGATAATTTTGTATATATTTGTCAAGAACTCATGATGATGACAAATCCTTGAGCTCTATATTCTCCTACTATGCTGAAAGATTTTTGGGGATTGATAGTGGCTGCCTTATGTATATTGTTGTTGGGGGGAAGCTTGGGTTATCATGGCAAAGGATGTATGATAGTTGTATTAATGTATAGAAGAAGGGTGTGGTGGTTCACCATTTGTGTAAGGATTGTATGGGCCTACCTTTC